GACAACCCCTGAGAGGCAACTGCTTCTGTTCACTGGCAAGTTTTCTGTTGCTGGGGAAAATTTTCTTCCCATGTTGCGTATAATGAAACTGCATTTAAAAAAAAAAAAGAGGCTGTTCCATAACATGGACTTGTCTCTATAACAGGGCTGAAACATCTACTTCTCCCTGTTACAGGAGGAAAGACAGAGCCGCCACACCATCGTAAGCATCTGCGCCATCTTCCTACCACATACGAGAACTGAAGGATTGTTGGCCCCATCTCATCGCTCTGATTTCCAGAAATCATATCTAAGTTTCTAGATGAAGCAGTCATCCTGCTATCTACATAGAGGAAGTCTTGGAGAGGAGCAGAACAGGTACCAGCACTGTATGAAAAGCTATCTCTGATGCAATGAGTAGTGTTTTTAAGACCCTTGGAAGCATATGATTAGCCTCCTTTTGAGGATACAAATTCTGGCCTCATAACAGGATGCTGATACTTAAACTGGCACCACCGTTAGGAAAGCAGATGCGGCCACTGAAGCCAGGGCACTGAGGAAGAACCAGAAATATGCTGAATCTTGAGTTAACTCTGAAGAGTTAAACTCACATTTTAGAGATCTGCCTCGCTTTTAGGCTGCTCTGACTTCAGTGCTGAAGAAATGATTCCATGATAGAACTCATAAAGTGACTGCACAATACTGGAAGTTGTAAAAGAATAAATGCAAAGTTCTGTTTAAAAGTTTAACAAAACATCAGTTTTCAAAGGCTATACTGTTACTGTTTCTATAAGTTTTCTGAGTAAAGAACTTCAGTCTCAGTCCTTTCTTAGTCCTTTACCATTAAAAAAAGGGTTTACAGAAAGATATTTTTAAAATCTGGCACAATCCAAACAAATAATTTTCAGTCCCTACAAAGACAATTTTTCTATTTGAAGATAAACTACCCTGCTAGCATGGTCTACCTCAAAAAAATACAAAAGCATCAGTTGCATAGATTATTTTAATTTAAACTGGCCACCTTTGAGAAATTCTGGAACAGATTTAGCACAAAGTATCAGAAATGTTTTGGAATATCTAAGAAGTTCTGTCTCACACCAAAGCACAAACAAGCACCAGTGCTCATTGACTTATGATCTGCTTGTAGTTAAGAATTAGGCCAATTAAAAGGATGCTATTTCTTCCAAAACAATTTTAAAAAATAATCTTAGATTCACTGTATATCATCCATACCTCTGTGTCAACACAGAGAGGGCAATAAAGCCACAGCAGTTACGGAGCTGAGTTGTAGGGTGAAGCATATGTGTTTCACTGGGGCCCTTCAAGCCTGTCTGCAAGTGCTACAGGACAAATTCTGTCCGTAATAGACCCTCTGTGACAACCACAGTACATGTTGTCTAGCTGTGCTAGCATGCTGTCCAAAAAGAAAGAATAAAACTACATCCCTGGATTTAATATTCATATGTCGTGTACTTACTGTCTGAACTCAACATGTAGAGAAATCTCTTGCACTCTACTGATCCAAAAGTAGTCACTGCACAGTCCATCCAAAGACCTTCAGAAATCCAGTCTGCAGTAACAAGTTCTGTTGCAGTGTCTGAAATTTTCCATCTGTTAGACATGGTAGCAACAAGTAAAATGGTGAATCCTGCTACAGCCAGCAGCAATGCACAAATCTGTAGAGAAGACGACGCCATTCTTCTGACAGAAGTTGTTTTCAAAGAAGCCTCCTGAAATTTCTTAGATTGGAAACCTGTTGAAACGGTTTATACACATACAGTACATGCCGTTATCTTTACACAAGCCTGGCCTTTAGAAAAACATCAGAAAGATGCCCACATACAAAATAATTTATCACATAAGAGAATTCTTGAATTGGAATCTAAATCTCATTAAGTAATTGGAATACTTCAATATTCTACGACATCTGAGTACTTTCTTAGGAACACTTTTATTACTGTACATGTTTACCACCAAAAAAATACCAACAGAGCAAAACCAGAGTACCCAACTGAGGAATTCTCTGATTTGAATTTGTCATGTTTCATCTGTTTTCTGATTGTTTGCCAACTCAAAATTCTTTTAAAATTAAAACTATCAAATACTTTAAGAAATTATCCAGCTTTCAATTATAATACCTATCAATACAAATCTAAACCAAAATTAATTTTGATACTCACGCTTACGGTATGATTCTAACCTGTTTCTTCTACCTTCCTGCTAGACGCTAGTGTCAGCACTTTGTGAGGACCAGTTTGATCAAACAAGTGAAAGTTTCGTACTCTTTAGAACCTTTCCCCTCATTCTAAAAATCAAGGACCCAGGGCCAAAGCTCTGCCCAACTGTTGCAAAAAGGCTCAGGCATAGGTGTTCGCTACAGTTACTGTAGTGCCAGTGCAATCAAATAAATAAGCAAATTACAATATCATGTAAGTTAGTACCAAAAATGCTCGGATTAACCTGGTAGCCACTGGCATATAATTTGCTTTTTCAGTGCCACTGAGCAGCCCACGCACCATCAGACTCCAAAGCAATACAGAAAAATATTATTACAATTTTCACAATGATTGTTTTACTTGGAACTTCTGTTGCACTTGGCACCAAGTCACTGTTCTCATGAAAAGACGCCAGTGTCCATATAAGACAGGCAAACAGTTGAGACAGGATTTGTTTTAGGATGCAGCCCCCACTGTGAAGTAATACACAAGTTTTATGAATTAGAAGAAAAAAGAAAAAGAGAAGAACTCAAGGCTCCTCCCATAATCATTCATTTTAAATGACTTGGAATGCATTTATACAAGAAAAGAAGGATTAAGTTTATTCCACTCTTTAAAAAGTGTATATACCACTATAAAAGTTTAATCTCACATTGAGGAAGGAACATTTGTCTCTCAAGTTGTGTAACCTCTTCAAAACACACATAACTGTCAACAGTGAATGTCTGAAATAAATGATAAATTTAAGTTAAGCAACAAATTCAAGCAGACTTCACATCACATGGGCAGGCCAATAATCCAAATGAATGTTTCTGCCTACTACATAGGTATGACCTATCACAATTAATTCCTGGCAGTAAGGAAAAGAGGCAAAAACTGTCTGCTCTGCACCATCACTATGGGTAGGACATATGTCAAAGTTACAAACACAAACTTCTCATTAAAATACAATAATTTAAAATACCGTAAGTTTCAAAGTGAGGAAGCTTGGAAACTAGATTTCACAAATACAGAATATCATCCTTCCTCCACCCTGACCCAAATTCAACCATGTTATATCAGGACTACAAATACTACTATATGAGTCCTCTCACCCATAAAATGACTGTTATGTATTAATGCACCTGTTAGAGATGGTACAACATCCATGGGCTGTGAGGGGTGAGTGTCCCTCAACATCCATGTGGGTGAGTGTCCCTCAACAGAAAGATGCACATGTGGTCTGAATCAAGATGGTCACATTTCAGTTCAATACACAGGGGGATGTAAAATGGCAAGAAGAATAAACTTTGATAGCACAGCACACAATGGACTGACTGAAAGGTGGTTTATTTTCCAGATCTTCTTAAGCATGCAAAGAAAGCCTTTACTACTTAAAAAGCAAAGCATGCAGTGCTGGTATTTGAATCCTTAGGGGTCAGGGAGTGGGTCTGGTGTCTGATGTCTCAGTGAGGATTGAAGCCCGGTGATGGGTCCAATATCAAAAGGCCACACAAGGCAGGAGCAGAGCGCACTAGAGCCTCTCCTGAAATGCACGTCTCCAGTGGGTAAAATAAAGGGGGAGGGGAGAGGGGGGAGGCGGAGGGGCTGTTTGCTTGTTTAACAAAATCCATTTTTTGATGGTTTAAGCCCCTGCTGGGACTGGAGACCACGTTGCCGTTGCCCCTCTCCCACCCTCAGCCAGTCGGGCTGGCAGTAAGGCACAAACCCTGGGTTAAAATAAGAAGAAATTTAATACAACAGTGTGATAGACAACCTGAACAACAACAGTAGCAATGATAACAATAATAAACAGCAATAACATTGAACATGACAAAAGATATACAGAGAAATACCTCAATGGTTACGGAACAAACCCGCCATGTGCTCCCCGCCACCAAAGCCACCAAGGAAAAAGTTCCCGCGCCTGGACCTGACGCCAGCATGGCATGAATAACCCACCTGGAGATCCCTTCCCCCTCTCTCTCTGCTGGGGAAACTTAATCCTATCCTATCTGAACCAGGACACTATCCACCTCTTTATTCTATACAATCTTCGTCATGTCCAGCTGCCATTTAGCAGCTAACAGTCACAGAATAACAATTAACAAAGGCACAGCATAATTCATGGCATGTTCTCACCCAGAATCAGGTCCCCCTGTGGTGCACATCGGACCTCTCCATTGTCCTGCATCACCCACCAGGTACACACACGTCCTTGGGCAAAAGCAATCCCGTGGATGGGTTTGCCTTTACCTTTGCCTGGCGCAGGACTAAACCAGACCATTTTTCCCAATATATTCCTCATGCACACCACAGGGACTTTATCCCCATCTACAGCACATGGAGGTTTCGACTGAGCCGGGCCAGCTCGACTGGCAGATCCTCTTGTGTTGACTAACCAGGTGGCCTTTGCTAGATGCATGTTCCAGTCTTTGAAGGTGCCACCTCCCAGTGCTTTCAATGTGGTTTTTAACAGTCCATTGTAGCACTCGATCTTCCCAGAGGCTGGTGCGTGGTAGGGGATATGGTAGACCCACTCGATGCCGTGTTCTTCTGCCCAGGCATTTATGAGGTTGTTTCAGAAGTGGGTCCTGTTGTCTGACTAATTCTCTCTGGGGTGCCATGTTGCCACAGGACTTGGGTTTCAAGGCCCAGGAAGGTGTTTCGAGCAGTGGCGTGGGGCGCTGGGTAAGCTTCCAGCCACCCAGTGGTTACTTCCACCATTGTGAGCACATGGTGCTTCCTGCGGCAGGTCTGTGGCAGTGTGATGTAGTCGATCTGCCAGGCCTCTCTATATCTATATTTCAGCCATCGCTCTCCATTTCGCTGGGGCTTCACCCGCTTGGCATGTTTGATTGTAGCACACGTCTCACAGCCGTGGATGATCTCTGCAATGGTGTCAATAGTGAGGTCCACCCCTCGATCTCGAGCCCACCTGTATGTTGGTGGCCCGAGGTCTCATGGGCCCACCAGGCTATGAACAGTTCACCTTTGCGCTGCCAGTCCAAGTCCACCTGAGCCACTCTAATCTGAGCAGCTTGGTCTGCCTGCTGGTTGTGTCGATGTTCATCAGTGGCCCGACTCTTGGGTACATGGGCATCCACATGGCGCACCTACACAACAAGGTTTTCCACACGGGCTGCAATGTCCTGCCATACTTCAGCAGCCCAGATGGTTTTACCCTTATGTTGCCAGTTGCTCTGTTTCCATTGCTGCATCCATTTCCACAGGGTATTCGCCACTGCCCACAAGTCGGTGTAGAGGTAGAGCCTTGGCCACTTATCCCGCTCAGCAATGTCCAAAGCAAGCTGGACGGCTTTCACCTCTGCAAACTGGCTCGATTCACCCTGTCCCTCAGCAGCTTCAGTGACCTGTCGTGTGGGACTCCACACAGCAGCCTTCCATGTACTTCCAACATTCGATGTTTTCCCACAATGCAACAAGACCCATCAGTGAACAGAGCATATCGCTTCTCCTCATCCAGCAGCTCGTTATATATGGTGGGGCCTCCTTAGCACATGTCACCTCCTGTTCTGGTGACATCCCGGAATCCTTGCTCTCTGGCCAGTTCGTAATCACCTCTAGTATCCCTGGGTGGCTGGGGTTCCCTATTCGAGCCCATTGTGTTATCAACACAACCCATTTACTCCACGTGGCCTCTGTTGCATGATGTGTGGAGGAGGCCTTTCCTTTGAACATCCATCCCAGCGCCGGCAGGCGGGGTGCCAGGAGGAGCTGTGTTTCAGTGCCAACCACTTCTAAGGCAGCACGAACTCCTTCGTATGCTGCCAGTATCTTCTTCTCAGTTGATGTATAATTAGCTTCAGAGTCTTTGTATCCCCAGCTCCAAAAGCCTAGAGGTCAGCCTTGGGTTTCCCCAGGTGCTCTCTGCCAGAGGCTCCAGGTAGGGCCATTCTCCCTGGCTGCGGTGTAGAGCATGTTCTTAACCTCCTGCCCTTCCCGGACTGGCCCGAGGGCTACTGCTTGGGCAGTCTCCTGTATAATTGGTTCAAAGGATTGTTGTTGCTCAGGGCCCCATTCAAAATCGTTCTTCTTATGGGTTACGTGGTAGAGGGGGCTCACAATCAGGCTGTAGATTGGGATGTGCATCCTCCAGAACCCCACAGCACCCAGGAAAGACTGAGTCTCCTTTTTAGAGGTTGGTGGGGCCATGGCTGTTATCTTGTTTATCACCTCCATTGGGATGTGCCGACGCCCATCTTGCCATTTTATTCCTAGGAATTGAATTTCCCTTGCAGGCCCCTTAACTTTCTTTTGCTTAATGGCAAAGCCGGCCTTCAGGAGGATTTCAATTATCTTCTTCCCTTTCTCAAAGACTTCCTCGGCTGTGTCTCCCCATACAATAATGTCATCAATGTACTGCAGGTGTTCTGGAGCCCCACCTTTCTCCAGTGCAGTATGGACTAGTCCGTGGCAAATGGTGGAGCTGTGGTTCCACCCCTGGGGCAATCGATTCCAGGTGTACTGGATGCCTCTCCAAGTGAACACAAACTGTAGCCTGCACTCTGGTGCTATCAGAACGGAGAACGCGTTAGCAATGTCAATCATGGCATACCACTTGGCTGCCTTCAACTCCAGTTCATACTGGAGCTCCAGCATGTCCGGCACTGCAGCACTCATTGCTGGCGTGACTTCATTCAGGCCACGGTAGTCCACAGTTAGCCTCCATTCACCATTAGGCTTCCTCACTGGCCATATAGAGCTGTTGAAGGGTGAGTGAGTTTTGCTGATCACCTTCTGGCTTTCTAGTTGACGGATCAGCTGATGGATGGGGACCAGGGAATCTCGGTTGGTGCGGTACTGCCGCCGGTGCACCGTCCTGGTAGCAATCGGCACTCACTGCTCCTCAACCTTAAGCTGCCCCACCACTGATGAATCCTCTGAGAGGCCGGGTAAGGTGGACAACTGTTCAACCTCCTCCAGGGCAGCTACACCTAAAGCCAACCAGTACCCTTTTGGGTCTTTGAAGTACCCTCTCCTGAGATAGTCCATGCCCAGGATGCACGGGGCATCGGGGCCAGTCACAATGGGGTGCTTATGCCAGTCCTTCCCAGTCAGGCTCACTTCAGTTTCTAATAGGGTCAGCTGTTGGGATCCCCTTGTCACTCCGGAGATGCAGATGGATTCGGCCCCACTGTAGCTCGATGGCATCAGGGTGCACTGTGCACCAGTGTCCACCAAAGCCCTATACTCTTGTGGGTCTGACGTGCCAGGCCATCGGATCCACACTGTCCAGTAAATCCGATTATCCCTTTCCTCCACCTGGCTGGAGGCAGGGCCCCTCTAATCCTGCTCATCATCACTCACTTCTTGCAAGAACGATTTACTGGTCCCCTCAAGAGGGTCAGACATAACGTTGGCCATTCTATTCTGATTGGGGATTTCCAACTGGACACCAGAGCTGCACTCTTCTTGGAGGACTCCGCTTTTGTGATGGTCTTCCCTTTCAGCTGCTCTACTCGTGCAGCTAGGGTGGCAGTGGGCTGTTTTCTCCATGGTCACGGAGGAAAAACCACAGGGTGCTGCGTGGTGTGTACCTTCTGCTGCCTTTCTCTTGGGTGGGGAAACGTTTACTTCTAATGGCTGAGACATCAGCCCGTGCAGGTGGAATGTAGGACATGTCCTCTTCCATTTTCTGGACCCTCTGAGACAGTTCCTCCACAGCTGAGACCCAGGAATGCTGAGATGAAGGGAGATTTCCCTCATATTGCCGGAGCTTGCCAACCACTCCATCCGTTGTTAGAGTGTGGGTGTCTGTCCACCAGGACGCTATTGCCAATGCTTTCGAGTGTGCTTCTGGTGCGCTCTTCAGGAACTTTCGCCACATCAGGTGTGTGCAAGGGGCCTGATCTGGGTCCATGGGTGACTGTTCATTATTCAGATCACCGTAGACCATCTCAAACACAGCCAGTTCCTTGAGATTCTGGATGCCTTTCTCAATGTTGGTCCATTTGCTTAGCTGACATAGGATATCATCCTTGTAGGGGCGCCTCTCCCTTACACTGAGCAGGAGTCGCTTCCAAAGGCTGAGGGTTTGAGCCTGTTTCCCTATGTCCCTATCAATGCCAGCATCCTTGGCCAAAGATCTCAGCTGCCTGGCCTCTCTCCCCTCCATTCCAAAAGCACTGGCTCCATTGTCCCAGCATCGGAGCAGCCAGGTGCAAATCTGCTCGCCTCCCAGGTGGCCGAAATCTCTCCGCATATCTCGCAGCTCAGTCGGGGATAGAGATCGGACGATGACCTCTGGCCCTTCCTCCTGTTCCTGTGATGGGCCTGGCTCATCCTCATCCCTCACTCTGTGAACTGACTTTCTGGTATATTTTATTTTCTGTATCGAGGCGACTGATCCCAGCACTGGCTGGCTCTCTGGCTCAGCTGCTGTGCTGGTGGAGGCAATCGAGACTGGCTCTGCCTGTCCCCCCGGCCCAGATACCGTACCAGTAAGTTCACTCTCAGGTTCTGTAGCCTTTTCTCCCCCTTGAGGGCAGTGGGTGGTATTAAAGAAGATACGGTAGGCATGGGCAAGTCCCCAACACATTGAAGCGATTTGTGTCTCCTGGGTTTTGCCAGTTTGGTAACACACCCTTTCTAAGCACTCCATCAGCTTCTCAGGGCTCTGCATTTGTTCAGGAGTGAAATTCCAAAGCACTGGAGGTGCCCACTGACTCAGGCCTTTGCCCATCTTTTCCCACACTCCTTGCCACTCACTATTATCTGACCTCAGGGCAGGTTTCCAGGCACTACTATTGTTAGAGAAGTGCCACATGGCCAAAATCAAAATCGGGCAGACATTCAGAAAGCATTGTGCCGCAATCACACTGCCCTGCAGGCTCCAAGGATAATTAAAACTCCCCAAAACCGAGAGGATCTCTTCCCCTGGCTCACCCATAGAGGGGGTGAGACCCCTAACAAAAGCCCAAGCAGCAAACAGGTACCGGCCCGACCACACACACAGCAATACAAAAGCATTATAAGCAGTCAGTAGCCAGTACATCAACATAAGACCCTTTATACATTTTCCACTGATAACGAACGCCAGCACTGGGATCATATACTGGATATAAGGAATAATCCAGCCCCACCACGCAAGCAAGTGGGCCAGCATTGCAAACATTATTACACAGTACAAATACAAACAGAAAAATTACACCCAACAGATTGCTCTAACACACTCTGGTCAGGATCTGTCCCTTTTTTATTCTTATTTCAACCCAATTCGTGCCCCACGTTGGGCGCCAAAAAAGGCTGTAGTGGTTTAAGCCCCTGCCGGGACTGGAGATCACATTGCCTTTGCCCCTCCCCCACCCTCAGCCGGTTGGGCTGGCAGTAAGGCACAAATCCCAGGTTAAAATAAGAAGAAATTTAATACAACAGTGTGATAAACAATCTGAACAACAACAGTAGCAATGATAGCAAAAATAAACAGCAATTACAGTAAGCAAGACAAAAGATATGCAGAGAAATACCACAATGGTTACAGAACAAACCCGCCATGTGCTCCCCGCCACCAAAGCCTCCAAGGAAAAAGTTCCCGCGCCTGGACCTGACACCAGCGTGGTATGAATAACCTGCCTGGAGATCCCTTCCCCCTCTCTCTCTGCTGGGGAAACTTAACCCTATCCTAGCTGAACCAGGACAATATTCTTTACATTTCCCTGGCAGCATTTAATCCCTACAGTCAGTAATTGGTGCAGACAGACACTCCTCCAGTGGATCACATTAACAAACAAAACTGTGATTTCAGACATGCCCCAAGGCAGGGCAGACCTCCCTGGCTCCTGCCCAAAGGAGGTCCAGCAGCCCTGAACTGCTCTGCAACTACTTTGCTGTTGTTCCTCCTCTCTCAACCTGTACCACATACACCCTACCCTTCAAGGACTTGATTGTACTAGCTGCCATACACTGTCACAGTTTATAGGTTTGAGATGATGCCACAACCAATAGCAAATATGCTTTGCAACTATCTAAAGGAGAATGACCATAAACCAAAACCAAATAAATACATAAAGCATCATCCCTCGCAAATTGCACACATAGGCTATATACAACTAAGAGCTGTAACGTGATAAAAACGAGCCCCAGAGGAACAAAAGGATCACCTTAACATTAAAAACAGAACAGCCAAAATCTATGTGGTTTGAACAAGGATAGGAAGTGTTAACAAAGAAAAATATTTAAGTTACTTAAACAAACAATCCTGATAAGGTCTCTGGAAGCAAAAACAAATGATAAAAGGGTCTAAACTTGCAAGTTAAAAAACTGTTTTACTTTTTCATTTTGTTACATAGAAAAACAGAGACAGAGCACTAATTATCATACTGGTTTCATTTATATATATATATTTAACCAGCAATATACAGCTTTGAACCTGCTAAACGTTTCTTAGCTCAAGCAAATTCTAGGCTGACCCACGGCCAGGAGTGCAATCAGAAAGAGATAAAATGCACATATAAATACAGTACTAAACCACTTAAAGCATTCTCCCACCACAGGATTACAGAGGTTTCCTCAGGTCAGAGTCTGGCCTTGAGTTGAGAAGGCAAACTCTTTCACCATCTGTTAAAAAATAAGAAAGAAAGGAAAAAAAAAAGAGGAACCATATTAATTAATTTCCTCTCTACTTCCAAACGGTTTGACTTTGTAACCATGCTCCTGAAGTTGGTGTAACCTTACTAATACTCTAATGAGGCTTATAGCCATTTCCAATTGGACATATTCACAATATACAGATCATTCTCATCTTGCTATTAACTTTCCCTTCACAATATGAACTATAGAATAATTTGGGTTGGAAGGGAACACACTGATGCCAACGTCCTGCTAACGCACAGCTTAAACGTTGGGTCAGGTCACCCAAGCCTCTTCCAGACACAAGAGATCTACACCCAGGGCTGGAGACAGAACAAACATTCTCATGTGGAGTGTGTTCCTCACACAACTTTTCCTGCTGCAACATGTGACTGCTGCTTCTTGTCCTCCCCATGCACCTCCAAGATAAACCACTGTTTATTCAGCTGCTTGATTTTGGCAGGTCTGCACTCTGATCTCTGGAGGCCCAGGCATGACTGGCATGTACACTACCTGCCTGTCCCATTGCTATCTCCACGGCAACATAGATAATCAGAGTAGCGCATGCAACTTCTTGAAACTTATCGATTACAAGTGATTTTCAAAGCAAACACACCTGTTTTTTCCAGTTAATTTCGGGAGGGTGTTGGTGTTTCCAGCACCGGCTGGGCGGGGACAGCTCTGCCAGCATGCGGCCCCACCAGCGCTGTCGGAGCCGCCCGCCCGCACCTCTGGCACGAAGATCGGGCCACGAGGAGCAACACAGGCGGCAGAGACTGGCAGACCTGGCAAAGGCACAGGGATCAGGGGACACCTGGGGACAACCGCGCCGGGCAAGGGAGAGCGCGGCGAAGAGGCCTGAGAGGAGGCCGCGGGGCAGGAGCAGCTGCCTCACACCTCGTCAGCTGCGCACAGCCCTTCGCTGGAGCGGCCCGGCGGTGAGGCAACGCGGGGCAGGGCGGAGGAACGAGGTGAGGCCACACTGCAAACCAAGGCAAGGCTGAGGCACAGGCAGCAGCGTCTTGCTGCAGCCTGAGCCCCAGGCTGGGAGAAGACAGGCTCTGTCAATTCCAGAAGGCTTCTAGGAGGCCCCTAATTACACGGCGCCAGCGCTACGCGCCGAAGGGGCCCGGGAGGTAAAGGACCTGCCACGCTCATCATGGCGGCCAGAGGGGCCCCGCAGCGCCACTCCCGCCATGGCGGGGCAGGGCCGGGCGACCCTCTCGACATGGCGGCCGCGGCAGGACGTGGGCGGGTCCGACCCGGC